TGTCAGCATTAACATCTACAGTAACTCGCTCCATAACAGATAGCTTTAAGGGATAAAATAAAGCAGCTTTGCCACCTCCCATGAGCCTTCCTGTTATCTATTGAAAATATTTCTCTTTCTAAATGAACTGCAGCTATGAGGTCTATATTCTGGCAAAAGTAAATACCCATACAAGCAGTTTGAATTAAAACACACTCATGTGAACTGATCTCCATTGATATTTTAAAATTTTGATGCATGCAGATTCAATAAGTGGCCAACAAAAAGTCACGACCATGAGTTCGTGCTCCTTCTCTGCTCTCTCTTGCTTTTTATGCTCCTGTTTCTGTAGGCTAAAATCAACTTTTGTCCCTATGAGCGTGGTGCTCCTATAAAAGAAAAGTCTGAACATTTAGGTACTAGCTTTGGCATTTCATTGAAATAAAGTAATTTAAGTGAACATGGAAATTTAGTGAACCATGTGAAACCATAACTGTTCAATACATAGCCTATACTGCCCAGAATTATTCTGGTTCTTCTGCTTCAGACATTTTCCATCGCGCTTATCCCAATCAGGGTCACGAGGGGTGCTGGTGCCTATCTCCATCTGTCTACGGGCGAGAGGTGGGCTACACCCTGGACAGGTCCCCAGTCCATTGCAGGGCAACACAGAGATAAACAGGACAAACAACCATTCACACACACACTCACAACTTAGGAGAGTTTAGAGAAGCCAATTAACCTATTTGGCATGTTTTTGGACTGTGAGAGGAAGCCAGAGTACCCGGAGAGAACCCACGCATGCTCAGGGAACATGCAAACTCCATGCAGAAGACACCTGGCTGGGAATCGTACCTGCAACCTTCTAGCTGCAAGGCAGCAGTGATTCATGATACATACAATCCTCAAAATACGCCTAACCTGCTCATGTGAACTGGCTTTATAGTTCCTACTGTGTATTTATAATTCATTAAATATTAATTAAATTTATCAGTCATTGTTCAGACTGACTCAGGTATAGGACGTTTCTGAATACACTTTAGTTTTACCTTTTCTTTATTATTTAGTTTTATTCTGGCATCTCTTTAAAACTCTATCTCCTTTCAAGGTCTGCTCCTTAAATAATCCCAGATGTGTTTTCAGCAGGAGATGATATGTGGGTAGAAAAAAAAGAATGATTTGATTGTGTGCAGAGGAAACAGAAAAACCTGAGAGAGCAGAAGCAAAAAACAAATTATTTATCGCAGTATGATAAACAGTCAGGCACATAGGATGGAACAAATTTGAATGACAGGGCAACTGATTCCTCTTAATTGGTTTTGACTGTCTGTCTTTGAACTGCTGGGGTGATGCAGCTCTGTTTCTAGGCAAACAGCATATCTCCTGCAATCTGAAGTGCTTCTTAAATTTCAGCATAAATATCAAACCCCTCCACACTGGAATAGTTGCAATTTAATGTGATTTGCACTGTTGGGGCTCAAGGGGTCCTTTTTTTCCCTAGTCATTTTTGGAAATGGGTAAAGCCGAATCATGCTTTGAGGTGGCTGTTTCAGCTCTACTTCCAGCGTGAGAACACCAACACATACCACCCACACGTGTTTTCCCACCTGCAGTTCAAACCACTTGTACAAGAGAAAATAAACAAGAAATAGAAACTATCATAACAATGCAATAATAGGTAATTTCAATGTGAATCTGCATTAATGGAGACTTCTCAAAGTGAAGAAGGTATTTGGAGATGAAACCGCTTCTTAAGGTTCAATCGCTTGATCCATTTTGAACTCACCAGTGGAACTGATTTGCATGATAAATGAATGGCATTATTTAGCTTTTTGGAGTTAATTTTTCTATATGTATTTGCATGAAAAATTAGCTGCTAAAGGTGAAGTCAATAGTTTAGGGAGAGGGGAAGCACAATCAGTTCTTCTGTCAAGTGCTTAAAACAGGTGAGCACTCAAAATGAGTGGCAGATATTTTCTTTCAACAGATTTCACAAACCTACCAAAGATCTCACTATGAACTTCTCAGTTCATTGTCTGTCAAAAGTTTTATTGACAGCCAACTATAGGTGACTCCTTAGAAAGGTTGAATTGTTCTGCTAGGAAGGTACCATTTTTTACTATATGCACAGAAAGCAGAGCCTTACAGTATACACTTAACAGCAGAAATAAGATATTGTTTTTTTGTTTATGTTTGAAAATTAATGACAAACTCAAATCAGTCTTAAAATGGAGGCAACTGGATGTTTGTTTACTAAAAAATCCAATATATTTCTCATGGAAATCATGTCAGCACATACCTGTTGTTTTTTATTAAACAGAATAAGAGTGCAGAGCTTCTAGATGTCTTGAAAATTAGATTCCCTGGCATCATTACATATCAGTAGGAAGGTTCATAAATCTGTTTTTAAGCCAATGACAGACACAAGTAGGGAGAACTGCAGATTTAAATGTGAAACAGATTTACTGGGATATGCAACATGCAATAAAATATATCTGCAAGTTTACCAGAGAGTTTACAAGAAAAATATGTAATGCTAAATTTCAATTCAACATATCTTTTTGTCTTGTGTAATTCAGCAAGAATCAGAATTGGTTGTGCCAGTCAAGGCAGATACTGATGCACAGTCAGTCTCATAGGTGAGACAGACTTAAAATTGAAATATAAGAAATCTACAAGAATTAAAGCACAATAATAGAGTAAAAATCATACAATAAATGATTTTTGGAATATAACTTTCAACACATAGACTTTACCTGCCAATATGTGGGAAAAAATTCTAAATTAGACTTTGCTGCTTGTGAAGGGGAATAATCACTAATGCAGCTTAAAGGGAAAACATCCATCCATCCATCCATCCATCCATCCATCCATCCATCCATCCATCCATCAGCAATCATAGTTTTGATGTTTTGATGTTTCCGAATAATAATATTGTGTTCATATTTGTACTTTTCAGTTTTTCATATTTTTTTCTGGATGGATAGATGCCTAGAAAGAATTTAAATTGTGTACATACTAGAGATGCATGATATATCGATGTTGGCATCGAAATCTGCTGTCATTCGTCTTTTTTTATGCATTAATGTTTTTAGTCCTTTATAGATAGCTACCGTACTAAAAGGCTTCTGTCTAAATACATATAAAGAGCACTGTATTTTGGTACTATGGTGTTCTCAATAATGGAAAAAATACTTAGAGAAAAAGTTATATAAATCTATAAACTGGTGAGGGGAGGGCAGTTTTTATGCCCTAACCTAGTAGTTGGGGCATAGGGCCCCACTCCCACAAACTGCAACTCTGGGTCCCTAAACAAAAGACCCTTGACCCCCACACTGCTCCCCGGGTGCTGCACAATGGCAGCCCACTGCTCCTCAAGTGGATGGGTTAAATGCAGAGAATTCATTTTGTTCCTCTGCACTTGTGAGAGTGTAATGACAATAAGAAAAAGAAAAAAAAAACTTCAAGATATAAACCTGCAACCATATTGGCTTCCTCTCTTAATTTTTAAGTAAAAAGTTGTTCATCTGAGAAAAATTATATTTTCAACTAAGAAAAAAAAATCACAATTTAATTCCTGTTGCCAAATCAATGAATGTGTCATTGAGTCCTGGGACTCTTAAAGAAGTCTTCAAAAATGCAACAAGCTTGATTACTTAAAACTAGCTTAACATAGCCGTACCTGTGGAGGCTAGCTTGACCTTTGGTGAAATGATCAATAATAGCTTGAATAAAGTAATCCAAGTGTTGTAGTTTAACTGTTCTCAAGCAAATACAGTGAAGTAAATAACTGCCCTGGTGCACTTTTTCCCCCCAGAACATCTTAAAAAATTATGTCATACAACACTTCTTATTGTATAACCCTGTTTTTATTTTTGTTTTATTCATTTTCTAGACTGAGCTGAAAATTACCCCTCATTTTAGTGATGAATGTGTTGGATGTCTGAAATTGGAAAAACACTTAACCATCTTTGCGTATAATTAGTGCCTTGTGAAAATGGATGACATTAAATGTGTAGTGATACATCCCTCTCCTGCACCTCTGTGAAACAAACATGGCACCTTGTTTAGGCTGGAGCTGATATAGTCTGGTGCTAAGAATGCCAGGATGTATGGTTGAGACGTGTCATTAACCCCCACAGTTTCATCAGATTCCACTCAGTGGTGTCAAGTGTGTTTAATATCACATAATAATTCATGCACAATATAGCCCGTCCTCTGCTCTGACTGGTCGATTCCTTTCCTTTTTTTATATATGGAAATTTAAATGCTTTAATGAGATGTAACAGTATTTGATCAGAAGGAGACAGACACACAAAAGAAATATAGAAGCACTGATCCATAAATGCATTCTATGTTAGAAAAGGCAGTAGTAAACTAGCTCCATAGGGCATCTGTCTAGGAAAGAAACAGTTACAGAGATGAGTTATGGGTTGTTGTTTTATGGCAAAAAGGAGGAGAGTGCATAAAGTTAGTCAGAATAAGCTGAGCCCATTGATTTGTCTTGAAGAGAAAGAGGACTAAGCACTGAAAAACAGATCCAACTCTATCATCTATAATTGGAGGTGTTGATGGCAGCAGCCCAGCTGCTATTTCACTCCAGGATGGTGTTAAAGTCAAACTTACCTAGAGCAGAAGAAGCTACTGAGAAAAAGCAGAGAGAGCATAAAGTTAGAAGTTGAACTAACAAACGCTGCAGATACAGTAGCAGCCGTTTGCACTTAAATTTATTTCGGGGTCTGAATAAAAGGATTGACAGCAAATGCTCGCCACCTTCTCAGATTTTTGTTTTACAAAATTTTGATAGACAAGCTCCTTTCGATTGCATTTTATAATCGTGGGCTGCTTTTTGTTGGTCTATCCTCTCCAATCATAAACACATTGAAGGTTTAATTCCAAACAGGTATAATATTAAAATGTCTCAGGGGAGTAAGAAGCTTTGCAAGACAGTTTAGTTTTTTAGTACTAAACACAAATCTCGTTAGTTTCCTCCTGATGCTTGAGTGCCTGTCATCTAACAGGTCCTCCCGCTTTGTCTTACAGGAGTCCCACATGCAGTCCTCTCTGCAGGCGGGAGGGACTGTCTGCGCGCTGGAGACACCTGCTCCAGCGATGACACCTGCAGCCCTCGACTGCGCACCCTCAGGCAGTGCGTGGCGGGAGATGGCAGCATGAAACTGGGCCCTGGGGCGCGGAACCAGTGTGAGAACGCTATGACGGCGCTGCTGTCCACCCCTCTGCATGGCTGCCAGTGTAAACGAGGGATGAAAAGGGAGAAGAACTGCCTGAGCATCTACTGGAGTCTTCACCAGTCTGTGCTGCACGGTGAGATAAGCACACAGAAAATGTATGGTTGAACAGTGGGCGACAGCTGGTAGAGTATTTTATTGGGATTATTGTGTGCTGGCCACCAAAGATGGATAAGGCAACCGCCTCCACACATCTCTACAGCAGGTTCTACGTTGAATAGAAAAGAGTGATTATTATGTCAAAAATAGGTAAAACTAAAGCTCTGATTCCTTTTGTGCTGCCCACATACATTATATTTGATCACTTTTGTGTTTATTTCCAAGCTCTTCTTTGTTCTTCTCTGATGCTGACATTCAAACATTAACCTTTAGGAGACATTTTTACTCTCAGCACATGAAAAATAGAGTTCAGTCATGATGATGACAGGATTGTGTGTTCTATTGAAGTCAAATACAAATCGTAACGCTTAGGTACAGATGAAACAAGTCCTTGAGCTGCACATCTGTGGGTATTTTTACTGGACTGGTGGAAAAGTTTCTCCAAGATGTGCACACATGTCCAATGTTGTACCCAGTGGTGGGCTTAAGAAATAAATTTAAGGCCCAAGGCGGAAGCAGGTACAAGGCCCTCTAAAATAAGGAGACACACACAAAACAACAAGTATATGAAACAGATTCAGACAGGTCCAACTGAGTTTTTCCTCATCTGTAGAAAAAACACATCAAATGTGAAGCTTATTTCAAAATAAGCTTTACATAAGCTTTCATTAGGTCAATGACATAGTAATTAATATGTCCATCCCCTCCTAGCGACCCTCTCAAACAAGTGTTTTTCCCGCAGCCGGTTGTGGGTTGATGCTTCTGCTGTTAGCTGCTGCTACAGTTGGGAAGTAGTTGCTTTTGGTAACTTTGAGAAGCTTTCTGCTTTTCTGTATTTCTCTCCTCTTTTCAGCACCGCTGGGGTGGCTTCTTTTCATCTTATTTCTCTTTTCTCCTCCTTTTTGCACTGGTCCTGCCTGTCGTGTTGATTTTTTGTCATGTTTTGCTGCTGCCTTCCAGGATCCTTTCCCCACATGCAGACTAATGTAGTGGAAATGGAAGGGGAAGGGTCCACAAAACACACATAATACAAGAAGCATCCTGAGGACATTTTAGTTAATAATTTTTATTAAAACATAATTAATCAGGGCAAATAGCCAATAACTGTATTAACCATACTTGTATAAGGAGTTTTATTGGGCCCTTAGGAATTCGGGCCCCAAGCCTGGTTTTGCTCATGGTGACTCCTCCTCTGGCTTCAGCCTCTTCCAGTTCATGATTTGCGCTTTCTAGGGATTTTTTCCTGAACTATTTTAACCATCTTGACAAAATATATTTTGACTCTTGTGCATTGGGTTGCTTTTCTTGCACCAAGTGTGCTTTCTTATCATGTTAGATTGCTCTAGTAAGACCCCCGGAAAGTTCTTAAATCATCCTCAGAAAAACTGAGCTAAAGTCTGGTTCCTCTGATTCAATCCTGTTTTGTATTTGCCATGACCTGGATGGCTGATAATTTACACAGGAATGATAGGTTCCTGATTTGTTATATTAATGAAATATGTCTAAATGCAATTAGACATATTTAATTAATTAATTAATAATTCTTTCAGCATATTGATAATAATAATGGAAAGACACCCTTGTTACGGTTAAGAGAAAACTCAGGTTTAAGAGCAACAGATGCCCATCAATTCATCGTTAGTCGATTGATAAGATCCATCAACGTTATATTAATTCATATAAATAACTTGCATCTTCTCTATTTCTAAATAATCAATTCTGTTTATTTAAATCGCCCCAATTCATAACACATATCATTTCAAGGCACTTTACAGAGGCAATTCCACCAGATCATATAGTCAAATTGATTCAAATGTTTTTTATCTAAGAAAAACCAGCTGATTCATTAACTCGAAGGCAATCCCTCACACCAAGCATGCTTGTAGAGACAGTGGAGAGGAAATCTTCCTTTTTACAGGAAGAAACCTCCAGGACAACCAGGCGCAGTGTGAGCAGCCATCTGCTGAGGCCGACTGGGGTTCAAGGAGACAGATGCAGACACAAAAGAAGCAGAGATAAAAAAAAAAAGGCAACTGTCAACCAGCTCCACAGGAACACCCAGGAAACACACAGCCAGAGCTAGCTCCAATGTCAGAGGATGAAAGAGAGCACATCCAGTTAGTCACAGTCAGAGAAACTGGACTAAACTGAAATACAGGCCAAGCTCCAATATTTATATACTAAGCTGTTGATGGAAGCAGCACAGCTGAAATTCTCTCTGAGATATTGTGAGTAAACAATCTGGAGTCAACAAATTAGAGGAGTAATCATCTTTGAAAAGTGAAAAATGCAGCATAAAAAATACATTTTTTTATGTTGTTGAAATATTTTAGGGTTGATTCAAAGAGCTATTCTTTATCAAGGCTACGTTAGGACAGACATTTTTGTTAAAAAAAATGCATATTATGAAATTTTGTCTCTGAGCTAAATAAAGATAAGAACTGGCCAACTTTAAATACATTTTTTGAAAGATTCACATTAATGCTTAGTGTTCTAATGTTCTCTTATCATTGCTGTTCCAATGATAAGAGAACAAACAAAGAAAAGTTTTCCAAAGAAAATCTCTAACTTTATTCACACTTAGTCACTCTATTCATTCTGTTATATTATTTCCTTTTAATAGATAATGAAATCAGGAAAAGGATTATTGTTTCATTATTTTCATGCATTTGTGATATTTACCAACCATTGATCTGTTTTATATGTTTTGTGTTTGCAGGACTGAGCCTGGTGGAGAGCTACCCGTATGAGCCAGAGGAAAGGGGTTCTGACTACGTGCGTCTGGCTTCCATCGCTGCAGGTAAATTATCATGACCCTGCCTTATTTGGACACAAATTAAAGAACAATATTATAATAAACAATACTTATGTCAAAGGAGACATTAAACATTGACAATAAATTGACCCACTGGACAACGCTGCCTTACAAAACACAATATCACTGGTTAGGTTACAACCACAAACTTGGTTGCCTTTCATGTCAGTTTATTTAACAGTTACTGAACTGGTGCCTCTAGAGATCTATCACACAAAGAAATATTGAAGAATTTGGAGAAGCTCCACAAGACTGAGGCTGGAATCAGTGAATCAAGTGCCACTACAGACGGATCTGTCTTAGATCTGAGCTACTAATGTATTTCTGATGTAGAGACGTTCCTGAAACGGGACTAAGGAGGAAAATACAAGCTTTCTGGAAATCTGATTTCATTGTCAAGCAGAACCTGACACCTGGTCATTCTCGCAAATGTACCAAAAGCTGGTTGAATGACCATTTACTGTGGTTGATCAGCCATTAAGCTGTCTTGATCTGAACAGCAGAGGGAATCCATGAGCGTACTGTCATTATTACACCTCAGCATGGCAGTATGCTGAACGCCGTGATGCATTAATCCATGGAAAGAGGTGTAAGCAAAATTGAATCCATAGAAAAGAACATCACTTTTAGAAGCCTGACATTTCTATTAAAATGTTCGCTTTTTTATCATCTTAAGTTATATTCTAATGTTCTAACTCATTGAATTTTGGGTTTTCATTATTTCTAAGGCATAATCAGCAAAATCAAAAGTAGAAAATACTGAAAAATGTCACTCTATGTGTAATGAATCAATATATGAGTTCAACTTTTTTATAACATTGAGCTTTTTTCAAAATATTCTAAAATTTAGAGGTGCTAGAAATTCCAGATTTAATGGATTTATAAATATGTTGAAAATCTTTTCACCTTCTACACAAAACCTTGTGTTGATAAACACTTAAAATCCCAATAAGATACAAGGTTGAAACTTATAATGTGAGGAAATCAGCACAAGTATCAGGGATAGTCTCAGTAAAAGCAGTTGTTATTCTGCACATTTGACAGAACATAGCGGTGGATATACAGGTGGCTTTGTAAAGTGTTTGATGAGTTACAGGCCTCACTCTCCTTTTGTCTTTCCTCTGAGCCTGTGGGCAAGCCTTGGGGCTGCTATGTGTGGCTGTTTGCCCCCAAGGCATAGTTTAATTACCTATTTACTTTAATGCAGCAGACAGCAAAGAAACTGGGTTGGAGACGAAAAGGAAGAGGCAGAAAAATAAAACAAAAAATGCACATTAGTTTAGAACGAGAAACACAGAGACAGCTATTTACTTTTTCAAATAAAGTTATTTTTCTTGCCATGAAAGGGAGCATGAAGTGAACCGCTTTTGTTTGTCTGACATCCGTTGAACTCTGGATGAGTTAAGTTGAAACAGAGAGTGTGTGAATTATGTTTTAAATAAGATAACTATTAGATAAAAAATTTCTTCATTACAAACAAAAAGTTTATTATTTAAATGTTGATCATTTAGATTTGTTAGTTTGAAGAAAGCAGTTTGCATAAATTAACCAATACACTGGATATGCATTGATATATGCAGTTTATTTTTATAAACACATTTAAGGTCTGGAGATTTAGCTCAGTGTCTCACGCTGTTACACTCCTGTTGACCCTTAGATGATTTTTAGAAGGATTTTGAATATGCTGAGATGTGGAAATGCAAGGTTTCTTGTAGCAATGAAAGATAATCAATTACACATTTAATTATTTCAAACCTTCAAGAAATCAAGCAATTCATTCTACAGTTGCATGACATATCCCTATTATAAAATAAAAGCTGACTTCCGGTTATAGAATAGTAAAACTATAATCATTTGTCTTCTCTGTCTTAAGTGATAAAGTCAGTATATTTATGTGAATAAGAACAACAAAAACATAATAAAAACAGTTTATAGAAATAAAACATAGTTTTATGTACAGGTTTACTTTTTGTACATAAATCCTGCCCTTCTGAGGCTTTATGAGGGAAAATCTGTGTTTTGCATGGTCAAATATTATGTCACAAACCTAAAAAAATAATGAACCAGGTTAATAATGCAGAAGCTATTAGTCAGCATAATAAATTTTAATATATATATAAAAACTATTTGTTTTCTGAGAATGTGTTTATTTAAGAGCAACTATGCAAATTAATAAACATCTAGAAAAAGTACACTCTTATATTATTTTCCATGTGAATCCCAGATTGTTCATGCTTCTGTACCTTTTCTAAAAACTGCTTTAAATCAGTCATACCTGTCTTTATCCATGCTGGGTCAGATCCTGATGTTTGAAATGGATGGAGGCAGTCAAGGCAGCTGAATAAAGTGTTAGCCTCGCTTCATGCAATTACCAAGCCTTGTAGCTATACCAGGTCATGGAAAAAGAAATACAGTAGGCCATTTTTCAATTCACAAGAATGCGAGTACAGACTTGTGTCCTTGAAAAGTATGTTCTTGAGAAGAACACAGTAAAGTGTGGACTTGGGGAGAACGGGAGCATGCAGCATAAACATGGGTCAATTGGAAGAGAAGCGTCCGTTTGACTTCACCTCACGCTCCGCTCGTCTCGAGCAGCATTTCACCTCCTGCTATTAATAGTCTCAAGATAGTAATAAATTCTACCTTTTTTCACTTAATAGGGGAATAATCCATCCATCCATTTTCTTTACGCGCTTGTCCCGAGTGGGGTCGCGAGGGGTGCTGGTGCCTATCTCCAGCAGTCAATGGGCGAGAGGCGGGGTACACCCTGGACAGGTCGCCAGTCCATCGCAGGGCTGGGGGAATAATAATAACACAAAAAGTTTACATTTTGCCAAATAAAAATAAAAAATCGGCATCAGAGCCAGTGGTACTTTACAAACGGCTATGCCGAGAGAGGGCTGCTGCAGACAGGCTAATGTTAGCCCTGGCTGCGGTTAGACTCCGAGGTCCGCTGGTTGACGCGGTCCTCTCAACATCAGAACTTTTTTAAAATTATGCACTAAATCAGTAAATGGGCAATATAATAGAGCTTAAAAGTATAATGTTCTCGCCTCAAATAATGTTTCAATCTCAAGAACGGACAAGTCTGCTCTGATGCATGCTCGGTAAAGAGGGAGGGGTGAGAAGAACATCCAGGGACTTTGTCTGTTCTCGGCTTCTTGTTCTTGTGAATTGGAACAATACTATGGCTGAGGCTGACCTCATTTTTCAAGTACACAAGCACATGAAAACGCACAGGTACACATAATTAGAAACGGCCAGAGTGTACCGTCTCCATCTGTCTTTTGGAATGCTGATTAATGTTGATCTTAAGCTGATCAGGTCCAAACAGTTTCACCTCTTGGTAAGTTTGCCTCCCTCTCTCAATTGACTCGACATGTCAATCACCTGAGCAACAACTGTTATGACAGTTCCTGTCACCTCAGGGCGTAGCTTTGATCCACCCAGAGCTCTACTATACTTCTGTACTGCAGAGGGGCTACTGCGCATGTAGGACTTTTTACGAGAGTCACTGGGTGAAACCTTTTGTACCCTAGGGTGGAAATATGTCACCAATCCGACGGAAAAAAACTAAACAATATTTTTGCAGGGTACTGTTGCTGTAGTGCGAGCTGACAGAATTGGAAAAGACCCTTGGATAGGTGTTGAAACATTTTTAGAAAAACAGAGCAAAGTCTGTTTGCTTACAATTCAATCATGTATTGTGGTTGGCAAATGACTGAGAATTTACACTGCACCTTAGAATAGCTAAAGAAAAGAAATCCAAAGTCAATATCTGGATTTAAATCTGGTGGAGATACTTTGGTATGAACTGTAACTCATGCCCAAAAACACCCCATTGTGACTAAATGAATGTTGCCCTGCAAAGATGACTGGGGCAAAATTCATCAACAGCCATTTAAAAGACCTGTTTATGACCTATGACAAAAAATTGTACTTTTACTGTACTAAGGGGACTTCCAGGTACTTGTGAGTTAGAGGTATGCTGGTAATGGTTAAGGTTAGGTTAGAGTAAAGGTCTAGGTTAGGTCATATGATTCAATTGATGTCAATGAAAAGTCCCCATACAAAACATGGAGGTTTTTCTTTGTGTGAGAGGCCTCTGTCTACTCAAACCCTGAGAAGGTACAGCTAGCTTCTGCTCGAGGTTTCTCCCCAATAAGTGTTTGCTCCAGGCATGCTGAGTAGGAGGGAGTGTTGCAAAGCATAATGCAAACAAACATCTGAAATATACCAATACATAAAAGTAAATTGGTGTAAAGGAGCTAAAGGACAACTGTATCACTAATTAGAGCTCTAGAATTATAGTGCTGGATCTTCTTGACACATACTAACAGGACTTTGCTCTCTGTTTATCTGTCCTGTGCTTTATTATTGCAAAGTATTTTGTGTCAGTATGACTGAGTGAAAATAAAGGATGTTTGGGGCATGCTTTGGTCCCCCAGTGGTTAGCGTGCATGACCTCAGGCTCACCAGGGTTCAAATCCCTTGGTCCTAGCTGGACGCCTTTCCAGTCAGCCTACTGTCAAAAAAAACGAGCCACTCGTGCTGTAAATTAAAGTATTTCTGATATTAGACATTCAATAGATGTATGTCTTTAAACTATGTTTGACCTTTTCCTGAGTCTCTACTCTGATGAGGAATAGTAAAATTATTGGGAGCAAGGGTGTGGACTTCAGTTTCTACAGTTTCGGGACAGGGTACAAAACTTTAAACAATTTAAACCCCTTCTTTGATATATAAAGGCCATCATTTGGGAAGAAAATGAGTCTTTCTATTAGTGCTCCCAAGACGAAAGATAATTACCTGGATTAGTAATAAAGTAGATTATGCTCTCAGTTTCCCTTTCATCTTCAAGTGGAGGCCTGATTGCTTGATTGTAGCTCTGCACGCTAGGCCGTAATTCTTTAGTCATTGCTGTGTGTACAATGCAGTTGTAAATATCCTGTGGCAAGGTCGTGTAATACGGGTACATATGAGAG